TCAGAGGGCCTCTCTGGAGCCAGTTCCAGGTAATTGTCTCAGCGAGCTTGGGAGGTTCAGTGCCCTGCTTCCATGCACAGCACAAGGACTGGCACGCCTCCCGCTTCCATGCCACCTGGAACCTTGCCTCTTGAGACTCTCCATCCCCAATGCCCACCTGCTGTCCCTCAGGCCACCCGTGGGACTTGGGCCTGCTTCCTATCCTTGGCTGGCCGACTCATGGCCTCACCCTTCACGAAGCCCCTCAGCCCAGGAACCCCGGGGAGGCGGCTGCCCCGACCCAGACGACAGATACTACAATGGTGAGGAGTCTGGATCCTCCCAGGACACACCTGTCCCACCTCCTCCATCTCCTAACCTTTTGGGCGCTGACTGGGAGAGACTGGGCGCCTCAGTCTTGGAGTCAGCCTTCTGGGGAAGATATGGGTTGGGGGAAGCTATCTCAGACCCTGCCTGTCCCCTGGTTTGGGGTGGGGGAAGAAGTTAATCCTGCAAGATGTCCCCTTGCCCTCCATTCTCTGTTGTCCTCTATTTTTCTGTCTCTGCTCCCTGCCTCTGCCCCTGGGCCTCGTTTCTCTCCTCCCCAGAAGCAGGAATCTCCCTGTACCTGGCCCAGACGGCTCGGGGCACCGGCACCACTGCTGGCGAGGGGCCTGTCTACAGTACCATTGACCCAGGTGGGGAGGAGTTACAGACCTTCCACGGAGGCTTCCCCCAGCACCCCTCAGGGGATCCAGGCACCTGGAGCCAGTATGCACCCCCGGAATGGAGTCAGGGTGACAGTGGTATGACTCCCGTTGTTGACACCCCTGTTCCAGCCACGTGTCCCCAAAGAGTATTGCTGTACGCTGGTTTCCAGCACCTGGCCTGGCCCTTTCCAGTCTGTTAATGGGGTGCCCCACCCTGTGTTCCCCAGGAGCCAGGGGAGGCAAAGTGAAGCTTCTACCAAGACCAGTGCAGGTGCCCTCCCTGAACTGGCCGGAAGCCCTGCCTCCACCTCCCCCTTCCTGTGACCTGGGCTGCCCAGAGGAGCCTGAGGAGGGGCTGGACGGGTAAGGGTGCTCCCTGCCGCAGCTGTGACCCACACAGTGGACCAGCCCAGAGATGCTGGCAGAGGAAGGGAAGGGGGAAGGAATGGAAGTGACTTGGTCCATCCCTTCTCTCCTGGTGCTTTGCCCTCAGCTCAGAGCCAGAAGAGTGGTGCCCACCTATGCCCGAGAGAAGCCACCTGGCTGAGCCCAGCGCCAGTGAAGGGTGCCTGGTTGCTCCATCCCAAGGAGAAACCCCCTCTCCCACACCCTCCTTCGGAGAACAGTCCACAGCCACCCTCACCCCGTCACCTCCAGATCCGCCCCAGCCCCCCACTGACATTCCCCACCTTCATCAGATGCCAAGGTAGGCAGTGCACAGAGGCTTGTTCATTACACACCCTTGGTCCTCATCTCTGAGGAGGCGATGGGTGGATGAAGGATGCAGAGGGGAGTCTGGGGGACTCAGGTCTTAGGGCTGTGTCAGGGTGTGATTTGACCACAGAAGCTGGCCTGTCACTTTCTGAATGAGCCTCTGGCAGCAAGACTGTAAGGCTCCAGATGGCCCTTCAAACACTACCTTCCTCAAACTCCTCCAGCTTGGGAGACTGGTGGGTGGGGCCGGGGAGGATGGGCTTCCTGTCCATCTGCATAATAGGCTGAGTTTCTAGCACAGTCTAGGACCCAGCAGGTATTTAATTCCTGTGGTGTGAGCAAGCATCAAGGCTTCCTGTCGCTGCAGGAGGGTGCCGCTGGGGCCCAGTTCCCCTCTCAGCGTATCCCAACCCGCTCTGAGCAGCCATGAAGGGAGGCCTGCTGGCCTGGGACCTGGCCCCATGGCCTCCCACCACCTCAGCCCCAGCCCTGCCCCGAGCACAGCCAGCAGTGCCCCAGGTGAGTCTGCAGGCTCTTCACTCACTCTGCTCCTCACCTCCCTGCATCTGCTCCAAAGCTGGATCTGCCTCCACTCTTGAACCCCTTCCTGATCCTTGTTTTTACCTGTTTGTCTCCCATCTCCTGCTGTTCCAGGGAGAAGCCGGCAGGTGCCTGGGGAGAAAACGCCCCCAATTCAAGGATCCCGTGCCCGGATCCGGAAGAAGTTCAAGGCTCTTCCCTACAGGAGAGAGCACAGTCCTGGGGGTGAGGGAGTTGGGAACCTGGGAGGTCATGACGCAACAAGGGGCCGGGGACCAGACAAGCAATCAAGAGTGAGTGGAGGAGAGAGAGCAGATGAGCCCAGAACTGGGGCTGTTCCTCCAGTTCCCCAGTGCCAGGGAAAACTTGCTCTCAGGAGGGGTGGGAGATTTTGCTAAAGATGTGTTTCTCTCCAGACCTGCCCCCACCGCCCCTGCCGCCCCCAGAGGGGGAGTCAAGCTGGGCCCTAGGTCTGAGAGCAATGGATAGCACATCCTCCCTGGAGCGGAAGCGCAGTGGAGAGAGGAGAACAGCACAGGTGGTGCCCCTGGTGGCACAGCGGGGGCCTCACCTGGATGGTAAGGGGCACTTGGACAGGCAGAGGGAACTTGAAAGCTGCTGGGAACGTAGACAATGGCCAGCTCACCCCTCACCCTCCTTTAGGTCCGTGTGTATTTCAACATCAGATCATACATTTGGTCCAATCAGAGACCCATGTCTCTGAAGCCTAGATGAGACACAGTGGAGTTCCCTGCTCGCCCCCAGGCTCTCTTCCTGGAAATTCTGTGTGTGTGCGTGTGTGTGAACCCTGGTTATGTTCATGTGCTGTGCTGTACTGTCTGCTTCTTCCCACCCCAACCCTGCCCTCGGGGCGAAGCCCGGCACCTCAGTCTTCTGCTGAGCTCAGTCTTCTGCTGAGCTGGGGTTGGTAGTTGATGGGCGAGGGGTGATGGTCCAACCCCCGGCTGGGCCCAGCCCCCTTTCTCTCCTGTGCTGCAGATGAGGCCTGGCTCCCCTACAGCAGACCGAGCTTCCTGTCCCAGGGCCAAGGTACCAGCACCTGTTCCACAGCTGGCAGCACCTCTTCCCGGGGTTCCAACAGCTCTCGGGGATCCCGGGGCCCTGGCCGGAGCCGCAGCCGCAGCCGCAGCCAGAGTCAACAGAGTCAAAGACCGGGACAGAAACGCCGAGAGGTGGGGGTGCTGGAGACCCCAGGCCAGGAGAGCAGTGAACTAGGGGGCGGTGCTGGGAGCAAGAAGGTGGGAAACGTTTTTTCGGAGGAGTGTTGAGAAGAGGTGTGTGTAAATGGTGAGCAAGGAAGGAATCCTAGGGAAGTGTTGGGCAAAGGGGCTGAGGACCTTAACAGGGCTGGAGAATAGGCTCCTCCCACCCTGTGTGTGGCCTGGTTTGCCCTGAGCCCGGCCTTTGGAAAACAGACCCTTTGTCTCTCCTCTAGGAACCATGATGTCCCTGGATGCGGCAATGAGAACATGGGACATCCCATATGCACGCCAGGGCCTGGGAGAGCCTCTTGCGTTTCAGGATGGGGGCGAGAGGAGCTGGGACAGGGCTGTCTTCTCTGCCAGCAGTGACGCTTGCGGCTCACTGAAGCCTGGGCCCAGGGCCTCAGTGGCTACAGGTGGCTCAGAAGCCCAAGGGTTGGCGCTTCCCTTTCCATCTCCCTTTGGTGGAGACCAGTTTGTGACGACAATAAATCAGACAGAATGCCTGGCTGGCATCCTGAGCCTGATGTGTCTGGATCTGGGTGGGACACAGGGGGAGGGAGACTGTATGTCAGTGTACACTGGTACCACTTGCTTCCTGTTGAACTTGGGTGGGGCAGAGAGCCGTGCTAGTGGAACAGTAGGGCTGCTCTCCAGTCGAGGAACGTGCTCTTCCCATTAATGCTTTTTAAAAACCCAAAGGGGGGAGGAGGTGATGGGTAGGACCCCAGGCAAGCAGGCAGAACATGCCTGCACACAGAGGGTGTGGGCACACTGGCCTCTCCTGGCCAGATGGGGCCCAGAGGTGATTGGCTTGGCTGGCATGGCCCCCAGTTCTCCTTCCCCACAGCCCACATACTCAGAGCCTACCTTGCTTTGCTTGCTTCCTTGTCACTTATGCACCCTGGGCTCTGTGACTGCCCCGAGGCACAGATGCCAGACTCTAAGCCCCACCTTGACCTCTCTTGCCTCTGTGGAAATGGTTGTCTTTCCCCCCTCTTCAGTCTGGCAAACAGACCTGGAATGTTATCAGAAAGGAATTTTACCAGGAAGTATAAAGGAAAACACCAAACAAAAAAGGAAACTGAGAGGAGCGGATGTGTATCCGGAGTCATCCAGCTGAGAGGGTGAACGTCCTGACTGGCCTAGCTTGGAGCGTAGCATCATAGCTCTTGGAAGTACCCACTGCCATCCTCCCCAAACACCCCTACTTGGCCTCCAGAGTCCAAGTGGCCTCCAGGTGGAGCTGGGCTTTGGGGATCAAACACTGCTTTCCCAGCCTGCTCCTGAATCAGTCCTCCACAGGGCTGCTTCCTTGTGGCCCCTGCCTTGCTGTCTAGCCCCACCCCCACCCCATGCCCAGATTGCAGGTTCTGTGAACATTCAGTGTACACAAGCCATTACAGGTATGTTTCCCGTGAAGTGAGGGAGCTTCCTGGGAGTGCTGCTGGGAGGCCCACTCTGCACCCAGTGATTTTGTCCAAGATGGGGGGTGGGTCAGTGGCCAACCAACACAGGCCATTCATCCTCTTTTGAAATCTATCTGCCTGGTCTATTCTAAGAAGGCATCTGGACCTGGGCTTCAGGAAAGGGGAGCTGGGACGGCTGACAGGAGTTGGCTTCTCAGGATAAGTTTTCCAGGTGCAGCAGTTCTGCCTCCCTTTCCCACTTTCAGGCTAAAACTTGATGGTTCTCCTTCCAACTGCAGAACCGACAGGCGGGACACTCCCTGAATGTCAACTGGCATTCCGCGCCTTCCTCGCTGTGACTGCTGTGATCTCGCAGGGTGCCCCCTCCCCTCAGTGGTGCCCCAGGGAACAAGCTGGCAGAACTCACATCTTCACAGATTTATAGCTCCTTAACTGCACAGTGGTAACATTCTGGGGAGAGGGCTTTGGTCCCACATCTCACCTCCCTTCCCTCAGCATCCTCCTCCACCGTACTCTACCAGCTTCTGATTCCTTCATTTCCTGTGATCCAAGCCAGCGGGAATTGGAGGAGGTGGGGCCCATCCTCAGTCAAAATGCCCCGTCAAGGCGGGGTGGGCTGGGCTGAGGAGATAGCAATGGCTGGGGGTCAGGTGCAGAGGACTCCAGTTCAGCTTCGCCCTTCTTTTGTTTTGCATTCACAGTCCCAGGGGGACAGCTCCCTGGAGACCAGGGAAAGGGGGTCCCAAGTACACAGATGCTTAGGCCGAGGTCCACACACCCCAGCCCAGGCCTCACAGATGGCAGAGGTGCCCCTGACACTTCTTGGCAATCTTGGGGATACAAGTCAGGAGGAATCTGCAGTAGAGATGAAAGGTGGGAGGAGTCAGCCCTGCACCTCATCTTTGCTGTCAGAACCTCAGTTCCCACCCAGCTCCTCCTCGCATGCTGACACTCACCGCCAGGCTTGGGCACGGGGCAGCTGAGCTGACTTCTCCAGAATGTGAGCTGGGAGTCAGGGGGCCATGGAGGCAGCCCCCTGCCCAGCCGCTGGCTGTGGCTGATTTCCACGTCCTCCAGCCAGTCTGGCCTCCACTCCCAAGGGGGCAGGGAGAGGTCATCTCCGGGGGAGGGAGGTGATGAGGCACCTGTCAGGGAAGGGAGAGGGGTCTCTAAGGGTTGATCCTCTAGCCCCAGGGAAGCAGTTTGGGGACAGAAAGCTTAGGACTGGCTTAGAACACACACCTATTCCAGCTCATACCAGTGGCGCACCTCAGACAAAATGACCTAAATGTTTCCCCTCCATGAGCTCTCCACACACTCCTTTCATTCTCCCTCTCCATAAGCACCCTCCTTTTCCTTCTCAGTTATCATAAATTTTGGTAGGTTTTCCTGGGGGCAAAGGGTAGGATTGGTGCTTGGGGAGTTCTAGGGAGGAGAACAGCACCCAGGGCTTGGAAGCTGGGAGCCAACTGCTGCTGTTGGTGGGGGGGATGAGGGGCCCATGCTGGAGACACGGCAGGGTGGCAGGGCGTGAGTCCTGATGTCCCAACCTCTGCCTTGGAAAGGGAAAAAGGAAGGGTTGGAGGAGCAGCAGCAGGTGAGAGAGAAAAGTGCGCTGCCTGTGGTGAGGAAACGGATGAGTCCAGGCTGGCACACGTGTCTGGGCAGGAAGAGACAGGGTCCTGAGCCCTGCAGTTGGCTCACAGAACACTACAGAACTGGGTGATCTGACTTTGTCCTGTGGGTGACCTTGGGCAAGTCAGTAGGCCTCAAAGACTTACAGTTCCCTTATCCAAAAGAGAGATGAAGAATATTCCTGCGAATGTTCAATGGACATGAAGCACTTCTAGAACTTCAGACATAAAACTAACTGTCAGTGACAATGACATTGGCTAGGATGCCTTACTCCAGGGCTGGGGAGACTGGGTGCCTTAGGTAGCTGTGTTCACTGTAAAGGTAGCATTCAGGAGTCAGAAGGGGTGGCCCCACGCACCTGTGAAGACGCAGTCGGCCTCCCTGGGCTCTAGACCAAAGCCAAAGCTATCCACAGCCATGGCCAGGGCACGGGCAAAGTGGGCATCAGCCAGGAAGGAGCCGTCGGAGGAGCTGACCAGGCTGGCTCTGGCGCTGGGGGCATTGTCCTCAGAGGCTGAGCCCCAGCCATTGGCTAGGGAACCCTCACTGGGGGTGGGTGTGGGGCAGGTCCGAGGTGGGTACAACAGGCCCCCCACCTGGGACCCCATCCCTTCTCCAGCCCTGCCCATGTCTGCCAGCCCCGAGGCTGTCGGGACACTGATGTAGCCATAGGTGGAGGGGGGTGAAGGAGCCCTTGGCATAGGCGAAATACTGTTCCTAGGAAGAGACAAGGTAGCCACCAGGGCAGATTAGGATGGGGTCAGTGGTTTGCCCACCCCCATGGTTTCTCTCTCAGGCTACATACCTGGGCGTCTCTTCACCCTCACTGAGTTCCAGGCATAGAGCCACCTCCTCGGGGGTCAGCACACTATCCTGGTCCTCCTCCAGTGATGACAATGAAGAGCTAGACAGGCGACTAGAAGCTGGGCTGGGACCAGACAAGGAAGAGGCTTGGGGGCTGGTGGGCCTGGAGGAGTTAAGGATGGGGCTGGGGGCTGCAGGCAGAGGGATGGAGGGGGAAGCTTGGTGCTCCACCAAGGGCCTGAACAGGGCAAGAGAGATACAGGGTGATAAGTGCGATTCTTCAGATGCCCCTACCCCCTTGCTCAGCCTGGCTCCCTCCCAGCACAGGTTCCCCAAATCCCCACTCTCCCCACCCTGCTTCCTGACCCCATGTCCTCATACTGTTTCTGCTGACTCTGTGGGGAGGTTCCATGAGGGGAGGTGGGTGTTGGAGGGAGAGGCCGTGTAGCCAGCTCATTCGAGGAGTTGAGAAGCTGCGGTCCCAGGGCCCGCCAGGCAACCAGTGCTCGAGGCACAGCTCCTAGGTAACAAAGAGCCTGGGCCTGAGAATGGTGGAGGTCAGATCAGTATCAAACCCTGGCCTACATCTTCCTCAGGTGCCCCAGAGACAGGGGAGAAGTCCAACAATGGGGCCTGGACTGGTGGGTCCTGTACCCTGCTGTAGCTCTCCACCCTGCCCTCCACGCTCCCACCCACCCCAGGGCTTCCTCTCACCTGGGCTTGGGGAAAGGTTCTTGGAGCCTCTCTTCCCCAACTCCCAGGCCCAGAGCTCCACAGGGTGACCGGCCCGGAGCAGTGGGGAGCTGTTGGCTTGGTGCAGCTCTGCATGGGGAAGAGTCAGTGGCACGAGGATGAGCAGGAGGGCACAGGGCAGGGGAGCAAAGGGCCTCAGTCCTCCTCCTTTCCCACCTTCATCTCAGCAGGTGGAAGGAGCAGCAGGCTTAGAAGGCAAAGTCCTGGCCCAGCTTTGTGACATCGGAGAAACACACTAACCTCTTTTGAGACTCAGTTTCTTATACAAAAACCCGCACTTCAAATGATAGCTTTGATGATGAAATACCAATAGATTGCAAAGTTCTCCACACCTTTAAAAAGCCATGTTGTTTTCTCTACTTGACTATGACCATCCCAATCTTTCTGCTGGCCACACCCTGTCATTGCTACTGTCTTCTTGTGTTTTCTGGCATTGTGGGTGCAACACCCTTTCCTAGAGCATCTCTTTTGAATGCCTTTTTAAGGATATGGGGTGATTAGTTTAGGTGAGTGGAGTAGGCAAGATAAAAAACAAAACAAAAAACAAGGAAGCTCCAGACAATGCCAGGTGAGACAAGAGAGAGTCAGCTGATAAGAAGAGGGACTTGAGAATATGAAAAATGCATTGTTCTCACCCAGGGAGGCAAGGCACTGCCTGGGATATGTAGTAACATGGGGTGAGGGAATGGGTGAGCGAATGGATGTTCCTGGAGAGAGCCAAACTGAGAAGAGCGGCTACAGGTGGCCGCCATCCTCTGACCCACATGAGTACTGAGAACACAGGGCTCTGGGCTGACTTTGACAACAGAGACAGTGAAGAACAAAGGACAGAGCCTGCCACATGCAATAACTCTGAGCACGCTTCTTGGTCAAGTCGGAATCCAGAAGGATCAGATTTCTAGCAGAGTGGAACAGGGAAGAGATCATTCCAAATTTAGAAACTGGGAGAACTTCAAGCAAGGGAGCAAGGCGAGTGTCATGTGATGAGAAAGCCCACTAGGAACAGGTTTCCCTCCTTGGCAGACCAGAGAACCAAGCAGGACCTTCTGGGTGGAGTGGAAGTCTGATTGCAAAGACTACCGTGGGCAGTTTCAGAGCTAGAAAGAACCAAGGCGCTGGCTCTGACTGACACCCTAAGTTCTGGGCCCTGGGAATGAAGGGCCCAATTCACTGATCTCCTAGAATGAAAACCCACACAGTGACTAGACTTGCTTCAATCGAGTTTCCTTTTGTACTTTGATTTTTATTCAGTTTTCCTGACATATAGAGAGTTCTGGAAACCAACTTCAGAACTCACGGTTCAACTTTGGTATCTTGGTCTTTGTTTTGTTTACTGCCTGGCTTCTCAAAAAAGCTCAGAAATCTGAGCATATACTGGTTGGGCTGTTTGAAAAAAAGAAGGGGAAAAGCCAGTCACAGGAAAGGCCATATTTATTCTCAGCCCATTTCATTTCCTCTAAAAGACCCTGGCAACAGGGCCTGGCTAAAGTCCTCACCTTGAACGCTCCAGGAACCCATATGGGTGCCGGTTCTAATCCCAGCAGCTCCACTTCCCATCCAGCTCCCTTCTTGTGGCCTGGGAAAGCAGTTGAGGATGGCCCAATGCCTTGGGACCCTGCACCCACGTGGGCCCAAAGCTTTGGGACCCTGCACCCACATAGGAGGCCTGGAAGAGGTTCCTGGTTCCCTGGCGCAGCATTGATGAGCTCGTTGGATGGAAGATCTTCCTCTCTGTCTCTCCTCTTTGTATATCTGACTTAGTAATAAAAATAAATAATAAAAAAAATTTTTTTTTAAAAAGACCCTGACAACAATCCCTCTCCTGGGGTCCAGCCTTTGGCCTCAAGGTTAAAACACTGGTTAGGATGCTAGCATCTCACACCACAATACCCAGGATACAGTCCTGCCTCTTGACTCCAGTTCCAAGCTAATGCAACAGTGATTGGTTTCCTGCCGCTCAGCTGGGTGTTCAACCCTGCAATCCTGACTCCTTACTAGAGCCCTGCTGGGCCCTCGTGGGCAGCTGGAGAGGAGGAGCTCACTCAAAAATGAACAAGTCAAGGAGAGAAGCATGCAGAAGGGAAGTCCGTGACCATGGTTCCCTGAGGATGCAGGCCATCTAAATTCTTTTCTTATATTTGGCTGAGTTATTCCTTCCCCAGTGGTCGGCAAATCTAACACACAGGTTCCAGGACCTGCCTTAGATACCAGACCTGTGGATGCTTGAGTGGCTTATATAACACGACACAACATCTGCACATCACCTAATCACATATCTCCCCTCTCTCCAGGACCCAAGATGCCCAATCTAATGTAAGTGTTGCGTTAATAGTCGTTACACTGTTGGCATTGTCAAGATCTATCTGTAGTGAATCTTCACATGTTCACTACAGATTTTTTTTCCCCTGTATATCTTGTAGTCATGGGTGGCTGGATCCACAAATTCAGAACAAGTGGATACAGAGGGCCAGTGCCCCAGCAGACCTGTATATAGTGCCTGAGGAGATGAACTCACACAAGCCTGAGGCTTCAGGTCAGCACAGCAGTGGCCACACTCTGCCAGCCTCTGTATGCGTGTGCGTGAGCACGCTACATGTATGTTTTGTGAAGAAGAAAGACAGAGAGGAGAGAGTGCGAGAGCTCCCATCCACTCCCCAAATGGCCACAATGGCTGCAGCCATGAGGGGCCGGAACACAAGCAGCCATGAACACAGCAAGGACTGAATTACTTGCATCATTACCTACTGCCTTGTAGGGAACCCATTAGCAGGAAGCTGGAACTGAGAACAGAGTTGGGACTCAAATCCAGATATTTCGATGCAGGGTGCTGTGTCACCACTGCCATCTCAAATGCCCACCCCCGAGTCAGCACTTTCATCGCACAATTTCTGAGCCCTTAGAGGGCTGTCTAGCATTTTTGTGTCTCCTGTGTCTGACATGCAGCAGTACCTATTAAATGTTCATTGAATTGAGCAAAAATGGGGCCTGTTGCTGGAAAGAAAAGCTGGAGTGAGCATCCCACCAATCAAGGCTCTAGTGCAGGGAAGAGGCTTTGTGTCTACCAGTGGGCCCCGTTTCTCCCACCACCACAGCCATGGTCTCCCTGCTCCGACCATGCCCGCCTTCCTCAGCCTTACCCTGCTTCTTTTTGGCCTTCCAAACCTCGGCAGGGGCCAGAGACAGTCGTGGGGAATTGAGTCCCCTGCGGCTGCAGAGGCTGTCTGAGCTGGGCCAGGGGCTGGAGCCCCGGGCCAGCTGGGGCGGGAGACGCCTGGCAGCTGGGGTCTGAGGGCTTGGCCGGGCAGGGACACCAGAGGGCATCTCAGCGATGAGGGAGCCATAAAACGTGCTGGTGTCTGGAAGCAGAGGCACCCCAGGGCTTCGCGGGTCCCAGGAGATCACTGCGATAGAAACGGCAAGAATTATGATGCACACATGGCGTCTGGCCTTCCCCATCTCACTCCCAGGAATCCTTGCCCACTCCCCCTAACCCCCACCCGCAGCTAAGCCCTGTCCTCCCAGAGCATGCTCACAGGAGCGGCGAGAGTCTAGTGGGTCCCGGGGGTCCACTCCCAACCGGCTGTTGAGGCTGCTGCTGCTACTGAGGTCCCGAGAGCCAGAGGTGGATCGCCAAGTGTCCGCCAGCCACGGGGAGTCGCTGTGGTCCATCCTGAGCCGCAGGGGTGAGCAAGGGAGAAAGAGGGAAAAGTGAGAGCCCAATCAGTCAAGCTTTCAAGCTCAGCAGGGAGCAGAAGATCCCGAAGGCAGAGGTATTAGCTTTAGCTTTGGCGCCACATTTCAACTCTTCCCAGACTCCTGAAAATCTTCATTCTGGAACTCCAAATTCAGCAGCCCTTTCTCTTCGAGTGATTGGACAAGCCCCAGTTGCCTAGGGCAGGGAGGCTCCCGTCATGTTATAGTATTACATAGTGGGTCTGGAGTCAAAGAAACCAGCTTTGAAAATCCCTCACTGCTCCAGCACAGTAAACCTGTGAGCCTCTAGGAGTCACTTTCCTCCGCTGTAGGATGGCAACCATGGAGCCTTCAGTACGAGGCTGATGCTGTGTATTTCTGCGGGAAATATGGGTCCTCTGAGCAGGCAGAGCAGGACTTTTGCTACGTGATGTTGACTTTTGGCTGCCTTCAATAGCAGGGATCTTGCTTAAAACTTTTCAAGGTGTTTCTCTGCCTGAAACCTTCAGTGGCTCCCACTTACTGAGATGGAGCCCAGTACTGTTAGCGTGACTAACAGCACTCACCTTGGTCTGGCTTCCGGTTCCCTAACCTTATCCTTTGCTCCAACCCATCTCGCACCCTATGCCCCACCCAGACCAACTGGCCTGGCTTTCCCCTACAGGCCTAGCAGGCTGTACCTGCTGCTTTATGCTTCCCCTTCTGACCTTTTGGGCGAATGTGTTTCCCCATCCCATCCCCTTCCAGGTATCTTGGATATGCCTCTGCACTGCCAACACTTCCTTGCTCTCATGCTCGTTTCTGCCTAGACTTGGGAGTTGGATATCACGCCAAAGGACTGCACACACCAAAACAGGAAAAACCAAGAACACACCACTAGCCAGCCTGCCACCTTTCTCTATACTAAGAACTCAGCAGCCCAAGGTCTGCATGTATTTGGTACATCCAGCAGGTGTTTGAAACACTGCTGTTGAAAGATGTAGAGCTGGAGTGTGAAGCCTCTCACAAGAAAGCTAATGAAATAGAGAGCCAAGAAGGGGACAGGCATTGTGGCAGAGCAGGTAAAGCCATTGCCTATGATGCCGGCATCCTACATGGGTGCCCAATTCAAGTCTCCGCAGCTTCCCTTCTGACCTAATGCCCTACTCATAGCCTGGGAAAAGGAGTAAAAGACAGCCTAAGTGCTTGGTCCCTTACCACACATGTGGGAGACCCAGAAAAAACTCCTGGCTCCTAGCTATGGCATGGCAAAACTCCTGATGCTTGTCCGCGGCCTGGCCCATCCCCACCAATTGTGGTCATCTGCAGAAATGGGCATCTTTGTGCCTCTCACTCCATCTTTAAGACTTTGACTTTCAAATAAATAAATCTTTAAAAATAGATAAGGATCAAGAAGGCAGCAAGCAGAGATGAAAATTTACTTGGTGTGAAACAGCCAGTGGAAGAAAAACAAAAAGGATGTTTTCCTTTTCATTAATCTCATGCTGACGGTTGGTTTGCTCTGATCACCAACCTTACTTGGAACAGAACTACCTGCTGACCAACAGTTTTTCAGCACCGTGAGCAGGAACCTGTGATGTAGGGGTTGAGTGCCCTCTGCTGGAACTGTGAGGGATGAGCATGCAGAACCAGTTGCTCATTAGGCAGTGTACTGACTGCACAGGCATTACCTTGTAGACACTGTGTCAAGACAGCATGAGATATCAGAGGGGACCGCCTCATCCAGCCACTCCCCGCACAGGGGAATGAGTCATCAGAAGAGGGCCGGAAGTGCTAGCAAGATGCTGGTGGTCAGAACACTTAACTTAAGGCCAGCTATGAAGTGGTAAAGCCATTGGCAAAGTTATGTGAACTTGAGTTTATTCACCAGTCAATGGTGTGAGAAGAACATCATTGAAAGGGAAAACAGCTGTCACTTGGCTAAATTCATGGACCAGGATTCCAAGTTGCCTAGAGGTTGGGTAGATACCAAGCCATCCACCTCTCTGTGCCAGCTCCACTGTGCTTTCCCTGTCTGTCTACTCTGTCCCCCACCTCCAGTGCCTCCCCTTTCACCTCTCACCTGTGTTTTAGGATGGCGTCCTCACTGGTGTATCTGTACAGACCTAGGAGAAGGCAGAGCAAGGTATAGTGAAGAGGTTCCATCATCCAGCCAGAGATCTAAACCCTGTGCAGTGTACTGGCTGGGCCCAAGGAGTCCCATGCAGCTGGCCATCTCTCCAGCCCTCTCACCTGGGCCCAGGTGCAACCCAGCTCGACGCCGGCGGTGGATACACACAGCAGTGCCCAGCAGCAGGAGCCACAACACAACGGCCCCAGTGGCGATGATCTCTGGCCGCATCAAAGTGGCCTTCAGTTGCTCCAGGCTCCAGACACCAGACTTACTGGGGTCCCATGTGGCTCTTTCCATGGACTGCTCTGTATGGGAAGTAGAGCTCAGAGGAGGCAGGTGAGGGAGCAGGGGTCTGTCAGGTAAGTGGGTGGATCTGGAAGTTGGGGGTAGGCAGGAAGAGGGAGAGTGGAACGTAAGAAGGAGGCAGAAAGGTGCAGGTGAGATTTGTGGGCACTGCCCTCACCTAAAAGGAGGCAGACAGGGCTACTGGGCTCCCCGGCCCCAGCTCCAGTGACTGCAGCCACTTGCACACAGTAGAAGCCCGGTGCTTGGGTGGTGATCTCCAGCTGTGTCTGCCCTCCCACCACGGTCCAGTTGGCTGGGGACAATGAAGTGTTGCCCAAGCTCCAGATCTGAGGGACATGTAAAGGCAAATAAACGCTCTGGACAGTGTCCCAGAAGCTGAGCCCTGTCTCTACTGACCTCTCGGCACAGGTTCATCCTACCCTGCCTTCCACCTGGAGACCCTCCTCTCAGTAGGCTCCCATACTTCCCATTCCCCTATCATGTACGAAATAAGAGTGGCTTCTCCCCAGACCAACTGAAGAAGGGCTGAATCATCTGCCAAAATGTGCAGGAAACAGGGGTTCTTATTCAGAGTCCCCTCGGCAGGGCTTGCCCAAAGGTAGGCTGCCGGGTTCAACATCCCTAAAATTGCCTAACATTCCAGGGGGATGGTTACATTGCTGGCCCCTGAGCCACGTTTGTTTGTTTGTTTTTAAGATTTATGTTATTTTTATTGGAAAGTCAGATACACAGAGAGGAAGAGAGGAAGATCTTCCATCCATTGGTTCACTCCCCAAGTGGCTGCAATGGCCGGAGCTGAGCCGATCCAAAGCCAGGAGCCAGGAGTCTCTTCTGGGTCTCCCACATGGGTGCAGGGTCCCAAAGCTCTGGGCCGTCCTTGACTGCTTTCCCAGGCCACAAGCAGGGAGCTGGATGGGAAGTGGGGCTACCGGGATTAGAACTGATGCCCATTGGGATCCCGGTGCATGCAAGGCGAGGACTTATATAGCTGCTAGGCTACCATGCCAGGCCCTGGAGTCACATTTGAGCACCACGGCCTTGGGGATTAAAAGTCAGACAGGCACAGGATTGTTCCTGCTTGTTCCCTCACACATGTGACCCCCAGCCTTGCTTTCTATATCTGCAAATTGGGTGGACTGTGATGTAAAATAAGATCATGGAGGACCATGCTGGGCTGGGTCTGGCAGAGGCATGACCCTCCTCCTCTGCACAGGGATGAGTTCAGTGTCCAGAGCACGGGCTGGCAGGGCCCCAGTAGGAGAGGGTGCATCTGCTGCTAGGAATACCTCGTAGCCACGGATGATGCCATTGTGGTTTTCAGCAGGTGGTGGGACCCAGCTCACAAGGATACTGCTGTTGCCGGGTTTCAGTGTCACCTCCTGGGGTGGTGCACTGGGCACTAGTGGAGTGAGGAGAGACCGTTAATGGGACTGGGGGAGTGGGCTTGGCAAAGGAGCTGACTGGAGAACACACAGTCAGTCAGAGCCCCCTGAGAACAGAAGGTCTGATGCCTGGCCAAGGTAGAGCAGAGCCCCAGAGTCAGACTGGAGTGGGGCCGCTCCAGGGACCTTGGTGGGGAGGAGTCAGGGAAGATACTATTGTGTTCTCAGGGCCCCGGTCTGACCTTGCTCTGGCAGCCTCAGGAGCAGCACGTTGCTGTCAGGTCCTTGAGCCCGGCCGGAGGATGGTCTCACTTTGAACTCATAGTCCTGGCCCCATTGCAGGCCTCCCAGCTCTGCGCTCTGATATCCAGCCAGCAGAACCTCTGCCCACGGACCTCCCTGGCCTCCTGGCGCAGTCTGTGTCCTGAACAAGGCTGTGTAGGACTGAGCAGGGGCGGCAGGGCCGCTTACCTGGGAAGTCATTGGGAGGAAGGGACAAGGGTCATGGAGTCAGGATGGCACCTTTCTTGAGCTCCACATTGGCCCCACTTTGTAGCGCCTGGGATCTTACCTTCCAGCTAAGCCACACAGCAGGCCCAGGCTTGGGACCCTTTGTAGGGTCTGGGGTCAGTAGGGTCACATTTTCCAGATGAATATGCACAGCCAGAAGCTGCAGATGCTCCCTGTGGTCCTGGGAGTCTGGGAGGAGAACATGGCAAAAGTGGGGTCTACAGGCTCTGCAGAGGGAGGGAACCAAGGAACTAGACATCTCCCAGACATGCAGGAACAGACTCTCAGAGCACTCTCATCTCTGCTTTGGCACAGGGAACACCACCCTATGTCTACCAACCCCTGTCACCATAGGCCCTCACCACTCTGACTCTGATCCCAGCCCAAACCGAACCATGCCATCCTAACTGGAGCGCCCATCCAGTCCTGGATTCTGGCCAACCTCTCTTGCCTTACCCTGGACAGACAGCCTGGCTGCCCGGCTTTCCCGTCGTCCTGCTGTGTTGGTGGCCACACACATGTAGAGCCCTGCATCCCTCTTCTCTGCTCTTGTCATCAGCAGGGACCCCCTGGACACCTGCCAAGGCCAGGTGCCCTGTGAAGCCTCCCACACGGAGTGGGGGACCTGAGGGACATTTGCAACCTCCCTACCCACACTTCCCCCAGTTCTGCCAGGAGTTGTGGGAGTGGAGGGCAGCACAGTCTCCCGGGTATACCCAGGTCAGGATGAAGTGTGGGGAAGGGGCTGCACTCACCATGTGCTGCCCTGGCCGGAGGGCCAGAGGTCTCCCATCTTTCCACCACGAGATGATGGGCTCTGGGTAGCCCCTCGGCGGCCCACACTCCAGAATCACCTGCTTGCCTTCCACGGCCACTGTGTCCCTTGGCTGAATCTGGAAATCCTCTTGGAGCACTAGGGGGTGGGCAGCACATGGGCGGGGAGCAAGGCCCAGGCCACTCCTCCACTCCTTCCGTGTCTCCCACCACCATCACCCATTCTGTTTAGCCCACCTCCCATTGCTCCTGCCCAACCCTAACCAGGGCCAGTCCCGAATCCTGCCCTGCCCCTCAAGTTGCCAGCTCAGGCCTCTTCTGCAGCGGCCCCTCAGCACAAGCATCTTGCCTCCAGAGCTCACCAGCCACAGACAGTAGAGCACCCCGACTGACTGCAGTGCCCAGTCGATTGCTGGCTTCACAAGTGTAGACGCCCAGGGCCGTGGACAGGGCCTGCTCATCATGGGCACGGCCCCGGGTGGGGGGCCGCAGCAGCAAGAGGGTTCCATTCGACAGGAGGTTGTGTAGGCCTGGGGGCTCCATGCTCAGAGGCTGCCCATTCAGCAGCCAGCGGATGGTGGGGGGTGGCTGGCCGGATGCTCGGCAGCTCATGCGGGCAGGGCCAGCGCCCTCCAGTAGTTGGTCCTCAGGGTGGATGAGGATTTGGGGCGGGGAGTCCTGAGCCATGCCTCCTGAAAGGGGAAGGGAGGCAGAGACCAGAATGACTCACAACAAGGTCCCCAGTCCCTTGGGCCCCACCTCCTCTGCCTTTTCTTATGCCCCCCTTTCACCCATGTTCTACAGAAAGTGCACCCCAAAATCGCAAGCTCAGGGATAGGACAGGGCACAGTGGCCAGCTGGGTGCTTGCTTGGCTCTCCATCACATACACCCCATGCTCCCAGCATCATCATCATCATCATCATCATCATCAACACCTCCAGCACCCCCACCAGGAAAAGGAGACAGGGAGACAGGGAGCTGGGGCCAGGAGCGGGAGGGTCACACTCACCCGGAATGAGCAGCAGCAGGAGAGGCAGGGGCCAGCAGCCCCCGGGGAGGTCCACTGCCCCACAGCCCATGGCCGCTCCCAGGCCTCCGTCCTAATCACAGGCACTTTGTCCTGCTGTTCTGAGCTCACTGCGACGGGAAGGAGGGGCGGTGGGTGGGGTGGCGGTGGTTGTTTGTGACGGAGACTCTGCCCCAGGAGGGAAGCGGCTCTGAGGAAACCGATGCTTCCTGCCTGGCCCTCCGTGCCTTGGGGAACTGGGAGGGGCCCCTAGGCGAGAAACTCTCTGACCTCGACCCCTTGGCTGGCTGCAGTAACCCCTGGATTCAGCCCTCAGGTTGCCCTTGTCACCTGCTCTGGGATTTCTTAAAGGGAGTTCTCACACTACCCACAATCCTAACCACGTCCTTGAGCCTGTAACCCTGAAGTTGCATGTCCACCTTCAGTCTTCACTTTTACCCCTTTGCTTGCAGAGGCCCACCTGCTCCAGTGGAATGGACAGCTAGATGTGGACTCTTGGGGTGTGGCAGGGAGAAGCCAGGAGCGCAGGGAAGCTATGGGCTGTGGAGGCTGAGTGGAGGAGTGGGAGTGGCCAGCCTGTTGCCCATTTCCTGAAGGGCCAGACAATGCCAGGGTAGAAGACAGGATGGACTCAGAGCCTGCGGAAAAGCTGGAAGATTATCCAGATGTGTCCTCATTCAGCTCTGGGATGGATGCGAAAACTCCCATGACACCCTGGGCAGATTGTTTAACCTGCAGTCACTTTCCTTACCTGTAAAATGGGACTTAAATACAACAGGTCCTACCTGGAGGGCTACAGCAATAATGAAATGAAATAAAACATAAAATCACTTGGTCTAGACAGGATCCCACATGCTATAAGGGGTCAGTAGCAGTTGAACTATTACTGACTTTAAACAATGTTTAGTTTTATTTGAAAGGCAGATTTACAAAGAGGAGAAACACACAGAGAAGGAACTTCCATGTACTGATTCCCTCTCCGAATGGCTGCAATAGCTAGAGCTGAGTTAATCTAGGAACCAGGAGTTTCCTCCAAGTCTCCCATGTAGGTGCAGGGCCCCCAAACACCTGGGTTATCCTCCACTGCTTTCCCAGGCCACAAGCAGGGAGCTGGATCAGCAGTGGAGCAGCTGGGACTAGAACCAGCACCAGTATGGGATGCTGGCACCTGCAGATGGAGAATCAGTCTGTTGTGCCATGGTGCCAGCCCCAATATTATTGGTTTTTTTTTTTTAAACACACATCCCATGGCTAAAACCATTTGGACTAACAGGGATGTGTTTTAGGTCTGGGAAAGGTGGTTGGAGTAAATGCTCATGAGTCTTAGCAACTCTGAGACCCTGTGTCTGTTGTGTCAGCTCTCACTGTGCTACCCACACCGCCCCCCTTCCACACACATACATCTAAGCACACACACAAACACACAGGCATACACACGCACACACACATACACACACCCAGACTCAGGCTTCTCTCCCCTCCCAGAGCCAACTCCTGTTTACAGGTCTCTTCCTCCCAAACCTGGAATGTTAGCCATTTCCTGGAGCTGTTCCGGAAGGCCAAGGCCAGGCTCTGGGGCTCTGCGGAAGAGTGTCCAGGCTTTGTTCCCAATTGTTCCTGGCCAGGCCAGCTTCTCTGAGGAGCCCCTAACTCAGCTGACTCCTGCCCTTCCTCCTCTTCCCAGCCTGACTTCAGGGGCAGCGCCAGTCCTCACGGCCCACCCTCTCCGTCACTCCTTCTCCTCAAACCCAGACCAAGCCTGATGAAGAAGGAGGAATCAGGGCAAAAAGGACACCAAAATCCCTCAGTGTCTGAAGGTGAAAAATAGGAGGGGCGTAAGGGGAGTAAGAGCATAGCAGAACCAGAAGGGTAGCATTCAGGGTCTGGGACTTCCCACAGGTAGTGTCTAAGAGTGGGGGTCAAAGCCATGACCTAAGTGAGGGTGTAGGTGTGGCAGGCAGAGCAGTTGAGAATCTGCAGAATCAGAGTGATGAAAGGGCTATTTCTGTGGATCACAAAGTCAGCCAAGGACCAGACAGAAGAGGCTGTGACGGGACAGATGGATTTACAGCATATAGGGCCAACTTGGAGTTTTCCAGGCACGGGGGCTTGGGATTTCTACGCCCCCGACTGCTTCCTGGCAGTGTAGCTGTCAGCTGTCCATTTCAGGCCTCTTCTGCTTTTGCACTGGACTTGAGGGGAGTAAGCAGGGTCTCTGCTAAGATTTTCATGTTAATTTGATTTTGCTCAAATCTACACAATCTAGGAAAACGGTGTGAGAATTGAGAGGAGCTGCCAGGGACACCCAGCAGGGTTGGGGCCCTAGGCCTGGTCACAGTTTCCCTGCTGTAGATCAGCCTGCAGCACAAACCCAGATGCTAAAATCAGAAAGGGACTAGGGGAACCGGTTGTTCTGGGATACTCCAATAGGGTGTTAGGACTCTAGCCCAGTTCAGCCACCAGGCACCCAGGGATGCATGGAGCGAGGGCTAAGGATGAGGTGTACATGGAAGGCTCCCAGAGACCACAGTACTCATTTCCAGTAACCTGGCCCCTCAGCACCCTGATTGTCTCATTTCCATAAACAAAGGAAGAGCTGGCTCATGAGTCACAGGGTTGATGTGACTCCACGGGAGCTGCCCCCTCTTGTTCATTTAGGCACACTTCTCTGGGATCTCTGTGGGGCCTCAGTCGAACCTCAGTAGGGCCCAGGCCCAGTGACCAGGTTAGCAAGGGTCTTCCTCTACCCCTCCCTCATTCCACTACTTTGAGTTTTTTGTAACATCTTTAGTTGCCTGTTGGAGCAGAGAGGAAGGAAGAAGATCAGCTGTTCTTTTGTGTGACTCTTCAGGTGACATAGCTGGCTCCTGGTGACTCTGCTTCCTGGTCTGTGTCATCTGACGAGGTGGTCAGGGACCCTTCTGGCCATACTGGTAGGGTAAAGGGGATGAGCTTACGTGGGAACTGAAGGGATTTACACACAAAGTTGCGTTGATGCCATTTCCATGGCCCCAGTTCTATTCCCTAGTGCCTGGTCCTATCAACCTTATCATGACTTATTTCAGGATCCCTGGAATCTGAAAGCACCTGCCTCACATTTTCCTTTTCTTCTCTTCTTCCTTCTTCTTTTACTACCTCTTCTTCTTTTTTAAAGGTTTATTTTTATTGGAAAGTCAGGTTTATAGAGAGAAAGAAAGACAGAGAGAAAGATCTTCTGTCTGCTGGTTCACTCCCCAAACGGCTGCTATGGCCAGAGCTGAGCCAATCCCAAACCAGGACTTAGGAGATTCTTCCAGGTCTCTTACACAGGTGCAGGGATCTGAGACGAGACGGTGTGTCATTCTCTGCTGCTTTCCCAGGCCACAAGCAGGGAGCTGGATAGGAAGTGGAACAGCTGGATTACAAACCGGTGCCCATTTGGGATATTGGTACTTGCAGGTGGAGGATTAGTCAATTGAGACATCTCACTGGGCCCTGTCCTGGCTTTTAACATTAATGAGTGATGCCTAGACCAAGTATTACCCACATGGAGATTTCAAAGGCTGCCGATGTCAGTATTTGAGTGTCTAGGAAGAAAGCGAGATTAGCTGTTCATCCTGGTCCGGCCCATCGCCATCAGCTGAGGACCACTAGACCTCGCATTGTTGAACAAGTTGGGTGTGAAGAGTGTATGTTGTGGGGAATCACAGAGTGGCTAATTTCAACAAGGGCTTGCTTTATATTGGATGCTGTTAGGAAGAACATGCAGAACTGATTTTTTAATGACTTTTTCTAGGCAGTGGATCAAGTGGTTATTATTTTTTTTTCTTTCATGAGCAGCATTGCTCTGAATATTCATGTCATCTGAGGTAAGTGCCCCAGGATTTCCTCGGGGAATAAACCTTGGAGAATATTCAAGTCTTGAGACTGACAAATATCCAACTTAAGATGATGTGCATCCATTGTTTCCAGATGAGTTGGGCCAGTGCTCTTGAGCCACATCCTCTGAGTAATTGAACCACCTCTCAATTTTGCCAGTCTAGTGTGTGAAAAATGGTATTTTATAGTTGTCTTAATTTGCATTTTTCTGGTTAAAAATAATGAGCATCTTTTCACATGTTTAGTCACCATTCCTGTTTTCTCTTTTGGGAAATATCAATTTCTATTTTTTGTTCATTTTTTAAAATTGTTTGTCTTTTTCTGAATGATTTTCAGGGTTTGATATACAAATGATATTTCAAAAGCTTATGCATAGATCTTAATTTTCTGCACCAAAATAAACATCTCAGTTCTACATTTTCATTAATATTTTGAAGTTCCCTTAGATGGATAGAAAGTCTCCAAGGATTACAGATGCTGCAAAAGCAAGTCTGATTTTATGGTTTCTTTATTGCAGTAGAATTTTAAGCTTCAATATTGATTAATTTATTAATATTTATTGTAGGTTTAGTGCATTTATTTATTTATTTTTACTTTTATTATTATTATTATCATTTTATGATATATTTCCATAGGCCCTGGGACTTTCCTTACCCTCTCCCCGAGTTCCTTACCACCCCAACTGGGTTCCCCTATATTATCACTGTAGTGTAGTTCTTCATAAATAATCATGTTCATCATTGCAGGCATGGAGAGTGACAAAGAGTCCAGCATCTGATTGTCAAGATATAATAAACAGTTTCATTGGGAGTCCATCTTTGATCTGGAAGTAGAGATGCATACTGCATTGTATCCTCACATCTGGATATGATAGTCTCCATTACACAGTTACTATACATTCCCTTAAATGAAAAGCCACAATACAAATTCAAAATAGAAATTTACAACTACATGAAACTAAATAACATGCTACTAGATGTGATAATCTCCATTACACAGTTACTGTACTTCCCTTAGGTTTGGACCATTTTTTTTTAAAGATTTATTTTTATGATTTTTTTATTGGAAAGGCGGATATACAGAGAGGAGAGACAGAGAGGAAGATCTTCCATCTGATGATTCACTCCCTAAGTGAGCGCAACGGCCGATGCTATGCCGATCTGAAGCCAGGAGCCTCTTCCGGGTCTCCCACGT